ATTTCTAAAGACGATTGAAAACTTAACTGAATCAGATGGCGATGTTTACTGGACACCTTGATGAGGTACAGTATCATATATGGTTCAATTTTTTCTATACAAACATTTATTAAGGACAATAACACTTATTAGCAACATGCTGCTCAGTTATATCCATGTTAAATTTCATTTACTACAATTATACACCGTTTTCATCAAAACTTTTTTGGTATGCAACGTGGATTAAAGTTATACTACTTATCAGTAGTGAATTTTATGACGAAAATTGCTGGCGGGTGATAACGTGAGCCAAGTATTCATCGCAGATAGCAGTACCGCACTTAAAGACTATATCTTCTCCGGACTTGCGCATCGTTAGGACTGATTTCAGCGATCACTATCTGTCCTGTGGAACCTGACCCAACAGTCCTCAATTTTGTGGATAAGTTGGTAAATGAACCGTTCCCGCTGTTTGTGACATCAGTATTTGTTGTACGCGACTTATTGACTACATTTATTGCATCTGGATCCCTCAGGAAAATTAGGGACAGCGAAAATTGAAAAAGGTATTACTGCTGGTTAGAGAATTGCCACAGAACTCCTTTATCGCCCCTCAAGCTAGCCACTTGAGAGGTGATAAAGAAACAAGGAGAGTTCGTTCCTATATTTACATATTTCATTTGTGCATATCTGGTGAATGTGATTCCGCACTTAAAATTCCTGCCTTTCAGAAGAAAGCAGGACAAACGTTTGACGAGCAGTGTTGGAAGCCAAGGCGACTAGCTGAAAACACAACGACCTAGACGCACGATTGGCCTCGACCACTTCCGCCCTGTGTAAACCGAACCGTTGCCAAACTATCCTCTCCATCTGTCATTAAGCAGAATAGTTTTGAGAAAAGCACCAGTTTATCTGTGCAACTACCAATATAACGCATAACAATCTCTCGCCTTTGAGGCGAGATGAAGCATCTTTTCCTTCTTCTTTTCAGCAGAGAAGTAACGGACTACACCTAGCGGTGGTGGGTGCCATACCCGAATGCATTCCGGCAGCTCAATTGCCCGCAGCCATTTTTCCTGTCAAACTGGACTGAACTGATCCACCCTTGGATCCCAAACCCTTATGACTTAGTCAACAGCTGCCAATGTCTGACCGAATCGAAAAATATAAATAAAAACATCTATTATCGTTTAATATGATCATTTGTCACTTTACAGAAAACTTAAGTCGGTTCAATCTTGCAACACATATTGACATTGACAACCCTACCATAATGCTAACCGTGGCCATATTTTGATTTTTTTACATTGTTTGTACTCCTCCACGGCTACGCAATTAGCTGTCCTGTTTCCATTTTCCGTGTTCATAACCCCCCACTTCTCAGCTAATTATTGAATTCACCGATCATTCAATTTTATGCTCGCATATCCTCTCGTTCGGTGTTTGCTTCTTATACTGTTCGAATTTTCTTAGCACGAAGTGGGTTAGGCTGATTCCATGTGCAACCAATTTTCACCTACTACACAAGTGTTACAGCTAACACTGGGTATTAAACTGTTCCTGAATTATCTATTCACATGCCGAAGTAAAGTTGGAGTGATACCAGCACGCGCGACGCGCTTTCAATCTCATCACAATCTAATCCAAAACAAAGGTTATACAATGGAGAAGTATCTTGACACACTTTTGGGGCATTTTCACCGTAACATCATCTCATTTTTCAGAACTTCCCATTTCCTTGAGTTTTCCTCACACTCCCAGTAGATTACACAAAACACTGGAAACACAGTTATCGAAATAGAGGTGCATAAAGCAGTATACATATATATAGATATGTATATATAAAAATAATCTCATTGAATACAATGAGCAGACTGTACAAGTGGGCAGAGTTGACCCAACATTCGTCTCAAAGGGCATCGAAAGGGAACGTTGAGAAAATAATCACAGTATTCAATTGAATAGTGAGCACTGCGTGCAGAACTAGTCAGCGAAAATGTCGTCTAACTCCTCGGCTTCGGTTTCGATCTTCTCCACTTTGGTACGCATCTCTATGAAGTTGTGTAGTCGTGTGGCAAGATCCGACCAGACTGTGTGATGCGTGACCCTGAGGAGGGACAGCGATTGCAATTGTTAATCACTCACACAGGGAGGCGGACGTACAAACAGAGGGAGTCAACAAACAACGAGAACACTTCTCAAGATTTTGTGGTATCAACGATGCTAGCTGTAAAATATTTGGATAGCGTACTAGGTTCCAGTGGTTAATGGTAGTGTTGGACAAAGGTGACAGAGATGGAACAAACTGCCTGATGATATGACTTTAGAAATTCTTAAAGGGATGGAAAGTGGAAATAATGGGATGAATGAAAAAACGCGTAATGGAAATTCTATGTAACAAATAGAAAAATGATGATCGCGGAGAATCTGGAAAGTACCAAACAGGGATGGCCCGACTTTCCAGAGTAGGTGGTCTCAAATATGCATTGTACATTTATTTGTGACAAGTAGTGCGGATTACCGGGGAATTTCTTGTACATGTGTCTCGTTCATGTCTCCGCCTCCGGTTTACAGTCTGCTATCTCATAGTTCATATTGTTAAACTAAGGTTCCGGTCACGGTGTCTAACGGAAGTCTTTTCCTTCAGTACGCAATGCTGCAATGTGGAACATACCCGAAAGTCACGGACAATTATTTACAAAACCTGTTTTCTGTCTCTTACGTGGTTCGTGTGAGCACAAAATACACTAGCCAATCTGTGTGCGTGAACTGAATTCAACGATAACCTCCCATCAAGTGACCGGCCCACAGAGTTCACTCACCGTGATCGAATCCACCGACTGATCCCAGTCAGATAGCGAGCCGGTTGTTCCACAAAACGTGCATCCGCAAGTAACACCGCACCCCAGTCTTCGGTGTGACGAATACACCTACCCAGAGCTTGATTCAAAGCACGGTACGCTTGAGCATTATACCATTCGGAACCGCTGAGCACGTGGTTGAGGCCGTTTGCGAACGAGGCCACCTGGGCTTGTGGTCGTCCGGGAGAGGGAGCGGATGCGGTCGAGGCCAGTTTCCGAGCAGCATCATTGAACTCGCGCTTTTGTTGGACCTGTAAATATGCATTTATATATAAGTGACAGGCTGTATCGAATTTTTTACTGACTGAAGAAATGGTCAACTTACAAACGAGAAAACAGCTTTTTAGTCTTATATACCATTCAAACTGAAAATGCCGATAAAAATCAATTTTAAGAGATTTTAGATAATGAAGAGAATGCTTCAGGGTTCGTTGTACAGTGCCACTCTACATGCGATGTGGTTGATTTCAGTAGACTTCTGGCGAACGTGTGAAACATTGAGGTGTCATCCAACAAGAAGACAGTCGATCGCTCATCAAGCTACTGATGCGCGCAGTCTTTAAATGGAAACTGATCAGTTTTACGGAACACTGAAGCTGAACAGAAACGTTGTTTTGTGATGACTGGTCACTCTGCAATAATACGACAATTCAGAACTTACCGCGAGTCTACTCACAAAATTTTGATTAACCCTACTAACACACTCACTTTGATCACATGTCCGGATTCACGAAAATAAAGTCTAAATTGAGCACCCGGCCCCCAGTTTGGCTCCTCACATGCAGCGCAATAACTAGGCATGACACAACAGAGAGAAAAATGTGATAAACTTTAAGTAATGGTGGGCAAAGATCACCAGAAAGCCGTTTCATTTGTGATGGGGCCCACTGACAGTGTGCAATATTTTAGTCCCCACAGGGAAGAAATTGAGCTAATTGTGAATATCACTTCTATCGTTAGTCAGAGAAACCTTTTCGGACAAGGTAGCCTCTGTGGGGATTAAATGTGCGATCCATCTGATTCGCTTGAGAGGTCTGGTGTATTTCAAGGAACCCACTTACATCGACCGGACACCGTTGGGTGTATTGTGAACACGGAATGTGCGGTATATCTCATACAAAAAAGCTCATTTGTATAAATTTGAAACACCAAACTGTGAACGAAATCGAATGGGGACTGAACCTGCGGATTGTTAAATGCCGGATACGGGATACCAACAGCAATGACCAAACGACCGTATGCATCGGCAAAGTCCAAACCTTCGCTAACTTTCCCACGGCACACGGCAAATACTACGGCCCCGTTCTGGGTGTCTAGATACTCGGAGCATGCGGTCGCATTGAGTTCGTCTTCGTCAGACTTCACACGAGGTCGTTTGCGTGGACGTATCGGTGTNCTCTTAAAGCCATAAATCCAAACCGACGGAAGATCGTGGTTCAATCATGACGTGTTTGATACGACGAAGTTTTGTAAACAAATCAGTAGTCTGAAGTAAACCGAGATGCAAGAAGAGGAGATAACATTTAGCAGATGTAAGACATTGGTTCAATTGCTCAATCCCAAATATTACTTAAAAGCAACACGAATACGCATCGGTAGGAGGGCGCTCGCATCTCATATATAGTTGACGCCGTTGGTTTCATTCTAGGTAAAAACGTAGCACAAGGGGATGGTGCCTGGGAATAACGGGTATTATTGTCGCTCTCTTTCAAGAGATAGCGCTGTCACCAGTGTGCTTTGGACCTTATGGTCTAAGGTTCAAACCGCAATACCGCTACCCGGATTCGGTGGTAAGCAATTTTGCTGTCATCCGGTTCAATCCCATGACTAACCTAGCGGAGCATTATGTGGTTCGTCACTGAAAATCCCCGTGCTTTGGTTCCCGGTTTCCATCACTTAACAGCAGATACTCACGATTATGGGGGCACCCAGTTTGCTGCCGACCACACAAATAATAATAACAATTATTATTATTATTATTATTAACATTATTATATAGTTATCCCGCTTTGTCGTTGAATGTCATAGCTTCTGGATAGTCGGACGCGATTTGCCGATTAATCCGACGGATGGAAAGCAAATCCATTTAACTTTCTTTCATTATACACTTTAGTGTGATACCAGCTTCACGTGAAGTTGTTAAGGTTTGATTTTGTAGAGGCTAGACGTGCGGTATGGGAAAAGTGGGATGACACTGGTGTTGTCTCTTGTATGAATCTCCCATGAAACTCTATTACCTTCAAAAAACGAGTTTATGCTTTTCAAGGAACTTTCTGTTTTTTATAACGATTATTGTGCTATGATTTTTTAGGCACATTCTGGACTCCAAAGTGATATATATTCTCTCTAAGGAGCCAAACTAAACGCAGATATATTGAAATTGGGTAACAGCAAGACTGTATCACCCCGGTGTTATGAGCACGAAGTTCACGTTTCACGAAGAGTTATTCACGACCAAACCTACCTCCCATCGTNCGAGCCGATCCAACAGTCCGTACGAGGGTAGAAAGCAAAGCACACCACCGGGAACAATTCGACAGGCTTGTAGGACCAGATTGCCAACCTCATCTTGGAATGCATAAGTACTTTGGTACTGGTAAGTGGCACAAAGACGATCGCCACCGGGTCCGTGAGCCAGACTGGCTACCAACAAACGATCTTTTGCAATCACGTGATTCGCCTCCAGTCGAATGGGGAATTCGACACCCAGTTCCGCCTCGAGTGCATCTAACGGTGACAACGTTCCACTCATTAGTATCAGACAGTGGGCCAAGGAGGCGACCTCACGAAATATGATGGCCGGGTTGAGGCACCAAAAATTCAAACTCAGTTCACGATTTTCCACTATTTTCGCCTTGATGTGGATAGGGCATGGATACAGAGGAAGACAGGAAAAGCACAGAACAATGATTCTGATGTAGAATACCAAGTTAAGCAGATAGCTTGTGACGGTGACATTTTTTACACACTTTCAAGTCCGAAATCGGAAATAACTACTATACCTTTTCCCATCAAGCCTCAGCCAAAACCCGCAATCCTTTAGCCTTGACCTACCTTCCTTTAGCCAAAACCCGCAACGCTTTAGCTTTGCAGTCACACGCCCTGAAATAAATCAAAAGGTATATGCTTACCGTTTCGTATATCCACTTAAAGGGAACTCTGTTTTTGACATATGGATACATTAAAAAGTCGAGGACAATAAACACCGCTAACAAAAAACCCCGTTTCCGTTTCCCAAGAAGATATAGACAAACCGGTAATAATCAAGCCTCGACTGCGGTAATTATAACTTACGTTGCAACCTTATTAAAGTGATGATAGTTATGAGGGTGTACTTTTGCGAACGGTTTGTTATCCTCAGTATGTTTTTTCATCCCCTTCTGACGATCTGAGCTGTGAATGCAAAACAATGCATCGTGTGAGTTACACTTGAGATTCTTACTCCTAGGAGTATCGCACGTTATACAGAAACACTGAAGCTGTACGAGATGTGTCAAATGATTTGACGATATGGGCAAATCGGTTAAGCCTTCTCCAATCAACGTGTGTTGCAGCATGCAACCCCCACACCTTATTCTATGACCAAGCTTGCAACATCAACATTTGTAGAAAACAATTCCTTCAACATCCGTTGATTTTAGAATATTCCGATACTTTTGATCTGACTCGTCTACTGCGGCGTGACTAAAGGTTGTGCGCTGAGGTTAAAGGACTACGGGTTTTGTCCAAAGGAATGTACAGTACGATTGCCCCATCGTTTTCGATCGTCTCGTCCCTCTCACCGGTGACTTTAAGCAAGTAAATTTCCTCTGACCCCTAAGACGATCTGATT